AGGAAGAGAAAAAGAGAGAAATATATACCAGGACAGGAGATGCAGCTTGAACGGCCGGTGAGTGATTGATATCTGATTGAATATCGTCGTTGTCATCGTCGGAGGTTAGGAGGATCAGGGCCCAAAGCTTGTGCCAGTTGAGGTAACAAATGAGAAACCCGGTTATGCATAATAACAAGATCAAAAGCAGGGCTAAACCAAGAGGAAACCCTATGGACGGCCTGCTCGACGATTCTTCGTTCTCCATCCTTCTTTCTTCCTCCTTCATGTAGATGATACGTAGAGTGAAAAATGGCAGAAAATAGTCAGGGTGGTGCCAAATCTCTGGCAGATAGTGTTGGTGGGTTGCTGAGTGTTGGACACGTTAATTTTGGACGTAGCACTTCATCATGTACGGAAAGTGCGGGTCCCTTCTGCACTTCGAATATAATATATATATATATAATTATCAGTTCTTACATTTCTTGAATCTCTACAGTGTGTGAGAGAATATAGAAGTTATATATAACTACTTAGAGTTGGATGCTTTCTTCTGTGTAATAGAGACAGGTTCCCCAAATTTGCTAAGAATTTAGAAGTAGGTTATAACTACTTAGCAGGATCTGCACATTACAAGGGATAAGACGAGTTGTTGGACATATAGAAATTGTTGCTCTTCTCTTAGACTTGGAGAAGAATATATATATAAACATATTTTGTTATTTCTTTCCATCAATGAATGTAGATACCACAGCCATTAGTGTTAATTGTCTGCTTTGCGATCAATGTCAACAGTTTTTGACCTAATTCCACTGCATAATTTTAAAGACAAAATTAAGCTGCTTTTGCCCCCACCACAATCCCCTCACATAAATTCAAGCAGTCCCATTATGTCCTGACTTTTACCAACGCATAATCTCTCCAACTTCTCGTCACCTTTTCTAGGCCATTCTTCTTCTACAATCATAGTGTTAAGCACACGGGCTTTTGCTTCTAATCTCAGACACCTAGACGTATCCCGTGAAAAAGCTCTGCAAAATATTTCACTTCATTTGGGTGTTCAGTGCTCTACAGCTTGAAACTCATTTTAATCTTTTCCTTCTCGCCGCCTCCCTCCTTCATGCTCTTGCCTCTATCAAATATCAAATTTATACCAACTGGTATACAAAGTCGAATATTCCAGGGTCCCTCCAGTACTTGAATTTCCAATTGGAAGAGATGGTGCGGTTTTATGATCTTATCTCAGACAAGATGCATAATGACGTATCGTTACTGATTGCATATTCAGTGACCCTTTGAATTTGGTTCCTTTGTATATTAGGTCCTAGTCTTTTCATTGTCCAATTATCCATCAATTCGGCTGCTTCTGCATTCCACTTTCAACCCAAAGTGGAATGTGCAATGATTTAGGATATAAACATTTAACGCGACTCGAGGAATTGCCAGGTGGAGAACAAACCCATCCTAGTAGAAAATTTTACCTGGTTTTCGGAGTTTCTAAGCATTTGAGATGTCCATATGGAAACAGGTTTGCTTACAAACCTTCAGTTCAGTGCAATTTTGGCACTAGACAGCAACTCCTTGTTCTACAAATTACTGTAAACTTGTCCCAAATTGATAAAGACATGACTTACTAGCAGCCGAAAGGTTAAGAAAGATCACGTGAACATAGAAGTATGATCATTGCGCGAACAATAATTTTATAAAACAAAAGATTAAAAACTAAAAATGACATAATCATGATAAGTTTATCTAGTTAATTAATTACCTTGATGAACGGTATACCACGGGTAATGATCTTAACTCTTGACACAATAATTAAGTGCCCAAACCATTATTTATGATTTCTGCAAAAAGTAGAGCATGTGGCTGAGTACCCTTTGTTTCAATTTAATTCTTGTTTTGCATGTTCTTATTAATTAGTTTGATAGAATTTTAATTTCCCCCAAACTTTACATTTTAATGTTCAGTGGGGAGGCTTTCTTTCACTTTTTTCAACGTCAATATTTAAAATATAGTCTTAATCATTGCTTGAAGCAACAAGGAGGAATTCCATTACATTCACCTAGTAAATCTATGCGTTTTCTGAGAAAACAAAGTCAACGTTGATTTTGATACTTGAAAGATGAACAAAAAGGATGAAACAGTTCAACGTCCACCCCATAAACCGGAGCTTCCATTAGAATTGCTTGGTTCATCATCATTCACCCACCTAAACTTTGATTGGATTAGTAAGTAGCAAGTCAATTCAAACTTTTATGTATTTAATTGGCCTGATTAATTTGAACTAATGCACCAAGATTTAGAACAAGAAAGCTCCTAATGTATAATTACCGTACTTAAAAAAAGTTTAGTGCTTGACCTGTTAACAAGACAAACATCTTGCTCCTCGACCTCATAGTTAAAGCCAAGTTAATCAAACTAGAGTTAAGTAACTTAATTTAGGCTTTGGAACTTATTATGGGCCTCGTAAACATTTTAACCAGCAGGCTGTTTCTGGCCTTCTGGGCCCAATTTCCTAAACCACTTCATCAAGTTGATCCCGAATTGCAGCTTGCATACATAGGCTAAAAACTGACTGACTTGTGGTATTAGTCTTGGTTGATGTAGGTATTAATACCATGCTGTTGCAATGCCGTATGATTACTCTGTTTGGCTGCTGAGAAAAGCAGAGAAAGGAAATAGAAAAAGGGAGTGCTGTTCCTCTGATCCACAATCTTTTCTTCACACCTTTTGGCTTGCAAGATATATATACTAGTAAACGATTATATCTGTGTACAGGGGATATCTTCGTTTGGCATGGCAACATCTGTTAAACAATTCCAATAGAAACATTATATCTCCTTTAGAAATAATATCAGGGTAATCTGATGTATTATTGTTCTTTTTGCATATTGTTAAGCTAATGAATGGAAGTATGTAGTGCCGATGGAAACAGCATTGTATGTTATATAGAAGTTGAGTTTGACAAGGGGAATTAAGGATATCCTAAAAGCTTTCTGACTAAAAAACTGAATCAGCAGTTATTAATGGAGAAACTTCATTTCCAGGGGTTGGGAGAACTTGGCTGTTGAAATTGTAAAAGGTTCTTGAACTCATGGGTTTTTTTTGGCTCTTTTAGTTGTACTCCACATGCTGAAATGCATAAAAAAAAAATACCACTAAATCTCTTTTTGCTAGATGGATCCTGTGCCCACGAAATAACTCAGCAGCTTCCCACAAACTGTGAGGAAATGTCTCAGCTTCTTCCTGCTGTTGAAATCTTTATATCTAGCATGGGTCTTCATAATTATGCCTTTCCAGAAAGTTTAGTCCTCTTACACGTGTCATATCAAAGGATTTCACCAATCAGAGTTTGCAAAATGAGTTAAGGGTCATATCAAGGCTCCAATCCCTAGCTCCACAAAAACAGAAATGGGATAAAGCATGGACAGAGAAGACAACCTGATTTAACATTTGGTACAAAAGACCAGTAAATTTTTTATCCCAAAGAATAAACCAAATCCATTTTGTTCTTTATATATATATATTTGTACTGTGTTGCTGCTAGCTTTATGATGGCCTACTGGTTGAGCATTCGATATCTATATTCTCTAATTGTGTCTTTGGGGTTATTTTGGACATAATTTACTTTTTTAAAAAAACTATTATAAGTAATAATTTTTTTATATAATTAAAAAAAAATTCAAATTTTACATTTTAGATAAAAAGATAATATTTCAATCAATAAATCAAATGATCGAATGCTGGATACAATTTATGTTTGCATTCTTAATATGTTCTTCTTTGTCTTTATGAATTTGTTCAGTTTTTGGAAACCACGACATGGTATTGTACTCTTGGTTAAAGTCTCTAAAAGATGCAGCATTGTTTGTTAGCTTATGCTTACCGTTTTGCCTGGTTTGCTTTGCAGTCCAAAATCAGATCTCTTGGCTCACATCCCCAGACAGGATTGCTCGCATGATCCCAAAATATCTGCTGAGATTCACCTCAATGATGTCCATTTTGGAACTCTACCTCTTGCCATTGAGTATCAGCATATGTCCAACAGCAATCTGTAATGTAGTATGAACATATTTAACCAAGAACCATTAGAGTCAACTTGTATTTATACGGTATGAAGAGCCATGGGACATCTGTAAGTGAAGCCCGAAAGCATTATGGCAAATCTTGATGTTGTCAAATTTTGCTAAAGTTTCCTATTAAATTCGTGAAATAGCTGCCACTCACCAAAGCTATCAGATTCATGGGATAGGCAGAACCAGAATGAGTAGACCAGTTGGAGCTTTAGAATGACTCTATCCTGTTGATGATAATAGATCTGATACTGATGAAACTGACTGTTAAGTTTATCATATATGTTGCTATTGCATCATGTTCATCAACACGCGGAAATAAAGCTAAAGGTATGGAAGACAGTAAGTTTGCTATAGTATGTTAATGTTTATGTTGTATTTTTGGTGATAAGTATGCAATACTTGCTAGATATTGTTCCAGCTGTGTAAATTTACTGCAGATGAACTTTTCACTGCGGGTGAACCTCCTTTGTCAACAATGCTGTCACCTTTTGTTGCATCAGTTCATCTGCTTTAAATCTTTTGATTGAAAAACCCCAAGATTCCATTTACATATGTGCTTGCCGCACATGTTTTCCCCTTACGCTTCTGTAGAATGAGTTGATAACTTGCAAATGGAACTATCAGATACTTGTGACATAAAAGCCAAAAAGGTAGTTTTAACTGCAGAATTCACTGTCCCCTCTCCTACCTGCTAAAAATAAAAGGGTATGGAGAAAAGCAAAAGGGGGAATGTGTAACTTACCTTTTTCACCTTTCCCATTTTGGTACACACTTCTTTTTCAAATGATTAAGAAATGCTAAATTAATTATTAGAAAGGCCCATAACTGAACTCCTTAAGGCCATTTTGGACATTGGCAGATTGTGTGGGAAAGAAGTCTTAAAGACATTCCTAACAAAAGAAGCCACTGAATGTTGGATGAAAAAAAAGAAAAGAAAAGAGCTAAACAAAGAATTTTGGATTGATAAACATATCCAATTGAAGCGGTTATTACAAAGCTCTGATGACTAGAATTTCACTTATTTAAGAAGGCAAAATTACTACAATCCCTCACTTTCAAATGCTCATTGAAATAACAGAGAATTTGGAAATCTCTCAAAAATTCACCAGAAGTTGCTTCTTTTTTGTAGTCCTCTTCTTTTGTTCCTACAAACATCTTCCTCCATAACCTGCATTTCTAAACAGTGCCTGCTTTATGTCTTCAGAGCTTAGTAATGTTCTCTGTTCCAAGTCCTGAAATAAAGACCAGAATGTATGTAAGATTGCAAGTTAAAAGTGACAGAGGCTTAACAAGAAGTGATTTAGAAACAAAAATGTTAACAAATTTTTTCTTTTTACCTCAGAACAAGACGCTTGCATCGCAAAATCATTGAAACAGCTGATAACACATTGTTGAATCTCAAGGCCTAATGCTTCCAAGGTTGTTACAGTTGACAACATCAGTCCTGGTTTTCCTGTGCAACAAATCTCGATCCTTGTATCCACATTTCTTCTTTCCACCTCAAACTGCAGGAAACAGGTATAGGAACTAAATTCAGGATTTGGGCATTTTAAATCAGACCTAAAAAATACTGAAGAATGGGGCAATATCCAATACCTTTGGTGTATTTCGCACTAAGATTTCATTTGGTTTTACATCCTTGAAAATGTGAGCCATGTTTAACTCATTTGAGCCTGCTTCAATTTCTTGCTGCAAACTTTTGATCCTCTCCAGGAGCTCTTTCATGTAATCTATAGTATCTCCAAGTATGGATGTCCTATCCATCTGTTAAAGAGCAATGGAAGGAAAACCAGATTAGCCCCCAATAACAACTTGCATTTTGCATAGGACTATGTACTAATTTGAAAACTTTACAACTCTCATTGCTAGTTACCTTGCTTATCTTAGGAACAATTGACCTTAACATCGAAAGCCGATCATTCAGCCGCTTTCTTCTCCTTCTCTCTGCCATTAGATTCTTCGATGGCTGCCCCGCCAACTTCTTAGCTCGGTTCTTGCGGTCTATACAGGTTCCCATGTTGAAAACTGGTTCTTCAGGTGATTGAATAGGCTCAGCCTTGCAAGCCGCTTGGACATCCAACTTGTGAAGTTTATCTGCAAGGAAGCCTGATTCCCCTTCCTCAACGATATTCAACGAGTAATCTTCTTGAACCGGAAATGGCGGGGTATCAAATGTGTTATTTGATGAATCTGTTACTTGTGCTGCAGAGAATTCATCGCCAAATGGACAGTGGACTTCATTGAAGTTGTAATTGAAGTCTTGCTCGAAAGGCACGGAGAATTCTTGGCAAAATGAATTTGGAAGAAAGCTGGCAGGGTTCTCATCAAAGCAATCAAAGTTCCAGCCACTAGAGAAAATCTCATTCATTTCTGTTGGAATTGTGTCCCAACTGTCTCTTCTCAGAGCTAATAATTCCTCTAGGAAACTTTGTTCATTAAACTCCATCTCTCTCTTGCTTTTCCCTTTCTTTCTCTTTTTCTCTAGGGAATGCTATTATTAGGAGATGCCTTGAGAAAACGAAAGTGCACCAAGTTGAAGAATTTATAGCTACACCGATAAAAAGGGCAGTATGGTTGAATATAAAATAATATACAATTTATATGATTAAAGTATATATTATGTTGTAATTGTTAGGCCTAAGAGGCCTAAGATTGAAATGGAATCTGCTTTTCCTCTCTCTCTTTCTATGAAGGGGTGATTTCATGTCTTTTTCACCGAAATCGCTCCTATCAAAAAAAACTTAATATTTAATTGGTAATTCCTCTGAAAACTTTGACCCACATTTCTGTCTGAACCGAAAGGATGGAGTTAACATCATAGGCCCTGTCAGGTTCTTTGTACGCTTAACCTCTGTGAATATTATTTGCACTTTGGCCATCCATGAACATATAAAACCAGCCCCCTCTCTCTCTCACACAGAAATATTTGCTGAGTTGGGTCCCATTTCCTTCTGCCTCTGGAATTTGGCTTAGCTCACAAATTCAAAATTAGTTGGTGGCCCTGTTTTGTTCTTTGCTAACCTTTTCTTATCACTAATTTTGGAATTATCCACCCCATTTTGTTTTTGATTATACATAAATAACCAAGCTATAACCGCTATACATCTACCATGTTTCTCATTTTAGGATAAAGGAATGGTGACATCTATCCCATTCTCAGTTCCTCACCTTCACCTGGCTTAATTAACAATGTACATGAACAGGAACCTGATTATTATACAACTGCAACTGAACTATTTCTTAAAGGAATTGTTTTGGCTGATGCATATGGCTTTAATCAGTGCAATGAATATGTAGAACAGTGGACTCCATAGTCTACAGACATTTTTTTATGTCTGGTGTTTACATTAGGCCGATCTGGTCTACCATTTTTGGCGTTACTTGAGTGGGCATTTCCGCTTTGTCTCCTTCTCTCATCCATTTACAATTCTGCTGTCATGTCCCTTCTTAATTTACCAAATCAACAGCTCCTAATTTCATTGTCAATAATGAACTTGTTAGACAAGGTCAGGGAAGTCAGTCTCGGGGTTTGACAACTTCCTTTAAACGTAACCATGTCTCTCTTGTCAATTGAAAATTATGACAAGGGATTAAAGTAAGATACCAGATTAGCACGAATGTGGCATCACTGATCAGAACCAGCCAAATGGAGATATATTGATATGCTTGACTCTTCGGTTAATTATATGATGCCAGAGAGTAATACTCTTATAGTCTTATTACATGTTTGTATTGGAATTGAAAGCAGAGGAAGAAGATTAATGCTTCAGATGGTAAGTAAACTATGAATGTAACATATTAAGCCTAAATTATGTATGTATTTTGCAAAACAGGAATAACTGTTGTGGTTTTTGAAACCTGAGGCTATGCGCAATTGCAATATTTTATTATGTTTAGACGTTTAGAGTATTTCATGGATAACTAATGGTAAAATATTAATACCGGCAGGAGGTATATATCTGCTAGAAAGAGACCTATTGACAATTCTGTATAGGAAAACATGAACAAATTATTCAAAATAGCTAAGCTAACAGCCCAATTTACAGCTAAGGAACAGATGAAGCGTTATGACAAGGATGATCACAAGGGCAGCTTATCATTTAATCGTACAGTTCTTGGTCTGTTTTCCATACATGAAACTTTTACAGGTGAAATGTGTGTTAACCCTTTGAAAGTTTCACTCAATTAAAATATGTTTTGAGTGAGTGAAATTCCAAGACTGAGAAATGCTTCACTCCCACTGATAATTAAGATAAACCCCACTAGATGGGGTAATTGTAATTATTTCTAATTATACAAATTGATTCTCACCAACAGCACAACATATCAACATCAAATGGTTAATTATTTTTTCTTTTTCCTGGTTACCGGCTACTACAAGGTTTATATTTATTATTATTTACCATTAATCAGAAACCCTAAAGTTGTCATTATTAACCTGTTTTCTTGAGGAAAAACATGGATAAAAGTTTGTCCTAAAAGACTTGATATATGGTGGCCAAAATAAAACGAATATACCCCCCCTTATGCCTGCATGAGATCGTGGGACAACCACCATATTGTTCCTTCCCCAATTACCAAAAAAGCATGGGTTAAGAGATTTAAACCAGTACATAATCAGGGTTATTATCGTCATATTATATAATTAAAAACCTATTAGAAATCTGAGCCACGTGCTATATTTACGCGTAGTTACCTAGTTAATCAGGCAAAGTAAAAGTTCTAGCACGTGGAGGATTAATGTTTATAGCCGAAGAATAAGCAATGATTGGAGTAAAGACTGTCACAGGCGGCGAGATAAGCAAATTAAGGGAAAAATGAAGATTAGAAAAAATAAATAAAATTTTCTTACTTTTTTATGCTATTACTTAGTTATTTATATACAGTTAAAAGCAGAAGATGGGCCCTCTGGCCATTTATTCTTTAGCAGCCGGAGTGCAGAATGATTAAACATGGGAGTGATGATGATGAACAGTCAATTAGAAGACGGAAAATGAAGGGTAAATTCTTCCATTAGCTAATTATGGAAAATGTTTTTTTTGCTTCAAAGGAATCAGTGATCATGCCAGAAAGAATTTTCAACAGATTAACACCGAAAAACACTCCATTAATGAATGAGTAGTGAGAGGGTTATTTCCCAACAAAAAAAAGAAAAAGTTGGATCCTTTGAGGTGAACAATGAACAGTAAACCTCTGATAATTGATAGTACCAATAATAATGCACGAAGGGAAGAGACTTGCTTATACTTCAGCAAGTCCAATTCTAAGCATGACACGTGTTGAATGTACGGAATCTCCCTAGGAAAAAACACCCAATATGTATCTACCACCCTATATACAGATCCATGATCCATTCCCCATTCCCCATTCCCCATCCCCATGCATGCTCTAAACCAAAACAGGTGGCGGATTTCGGAAAGAATATAATAATTTATTTCTCCTAAATAACAGAATAAAAACCCAATAATCCCTTTCCATTTTATTACAAAGGAAGTTACAATTTCAACAAGAGATTTTTTATATTCCATGTCGGCTAAACAAAACAAGTTATTGTGTCTGTTTTGTAAGATGTAAATGGTAACGCAATGTCAGAGAAAGCAGAGAGAAAAGATGTTTTTGTTTTAATCGACATGCATATTTATAATTTTTTTTTACTTTTATTTTTATCTTGGATGTCCTGTCTATCAAGGATCATCACGGATGAAACATTATGAAAAAGGACTATTCACTTTAGCCTTTCCTTTCACTTATATTGTTGAAAAATTTATTGTTCGTATTTTCACTTCACGTTCATTGCTTTGATTTTGTATAGGCGATATACAATGAAAGCCACAACCAAGGCTCTTTGTCTAGTTATTTCCTTGGCATCTTTCGTTCAAGACATGCATCGTTGTACTATTGAAGCAGCAATTCCTTACTAAGAAATTATTCCAAAGGATAAGTGATTAGTTAAAGACTTCGTTAATTATTGAAATTATGGCTTATTAACTTCTTAATTTGTTTATATGTGAGAGTGTGTCGTCTTTCGATGATTTAATAGGTAACTAATCAAGAAAATAACAATTTAATTTGGCCTTATTGAGAAGGAATTTTAAAAAATAAAACCATGCAAACACCATTTTTGTCTGTCACAAAAATAATATAATTGCAATAAACAAAGTCCAAAAAGAAATTAAGACTAAGTTTCCGTCTCAAACCTTATTGCTTTCCCACCGATCTATTCATACCAAAATTCGATACCCTAAATCCTAATAACTTGACCATACCTTCCCCCTCCCCCTGCCCCTGCCCCTGCCCTCTTCCCCATCCTCTCCCTCTCCTTGTGATTTTGAGTCTTTTCTTTGATATATCCTTTCTAAGAGCTGAGAATGATGATAAACAACATATTATGGTATAAAGAAAATAACAAGGGAAACATAGAGAGAAGGAGATGGTATCAGTATTAAATTGACCTTTGTTAAGATATATTTGAACCGGTGTTAAAAGTTTGGCTAGAGGAGTCAAACTGGATTTGTTTAATGGGAAAACATGGAAAGAATACATAGAACATTAGCTTTCGAACTATTATTCTGTACATTATTATCAGAATTAAAACTCTACAAGCAGTTGATTATGTTGAACGCATTATTATGCATTATCTCAATTAATGTAACTAATAATTCTTGATGCATATCTCGCAAACAATTTAATGTGGATTATATCAAGAATTAAAAATAAATAGCATCCATATTATAACAAACATAATAAAAGCTTAATTATAAAAGGGTTGGAACACTATTGATCTTCAGTAATTTTCTATAAGCAAGTCATCATATCAAATGTTTTATTACATATTTTGTCAATTAATTTCATTAATAATTTTTAATGTGTATCGCACAGAACAATTCAATATAAATATAATATTAAAATTAAAAATAAAGAATTTTGATATCACAACAAAAGCATGAAATTCTATTTGATCTTTCGTAGCTTATTTTTTTATTATTTTGACACCTTTTACCATGTTAAATAACTAATTATACGATATACCAATTGATATTAAATTTCTGAATTTCTGATACATCTATTTTGTGTCATCTGAACTAATATCATTAATAATTTCTAGATGCGTATCTTATTCCAACAACTTAGTAGATTACAATCCCTATCTAATATGGGTATAATTAACCCAAGAGATTAATTAGAAACTTGATGCTAGAAGGGACGAAAAAAATTCAAATATATTTATATTTGACAATGACACATCCACGAGAGCCACAATAGCAGAAAGAAGTGTTAAGGAAAATGGTGGAGAATGAGAAAACCGCGGGCAGTTTCCCCCTACCACCCCGACACTAGGCGGTTTCTCAACAGCAACAGCAGTTTTCTTTCCCTTTCCAAGTATTACTAATACAACTTGACAGCCCACAATATCTCATTAGGGTTTTGTTTGTAGCTCAACGAAACCACTCTTTTTTTGTTTGTTATTTATTTTTTTTCCTCTCTTCTCTTCTCTGTCTAAATTTGTCAGCTAGTGTTTTGTTTGCTAGTGACTTCA